TCTTTGAATAACATCATGCAATACACGCATACAACAAGAACAAAATCACTGAATGAACCAGTCTTTGAATAACATCATGCAATACACGCATACAACAAGAACAAAATCACTGAATGAACCAGTCTTTGAATAACATCATGCAATACACGCATACAACAAGAACAAAATCACTGAATGAACCAGTCTTTGAATAACATCATGCAATACACGCATACAACAAGAACAAAATCACTGAATGAACCAGTCTTTGAATAACATCATGCAATACACGCATACAACAAGAACAAAATCACTGAATGAACCAGTCTTTGAATAACATCATGCAATACACGCATACAACAAGAACAAAATCACTGAATGAACCAGTCTTTGAATAACATCATGCAATACACGCATACAACAAGAACAAAATCACTGAATGAACCAGTCTTTGAATAACATCATGCAATACACGCATACAACAAGAACAAAATCACTGAATGAACCAGTCTTTGAATAACATCATGCAATACACGCATACAACAAGAACAAAATCACTGAATGAACCAGTCTTTGAATAAGTAATACATGGTCTTAGATCTCATGACTAATATCATGAATATAGTGGTTATACTTGATTGTAACGTGCAATGTATCAATAGTTGTTAAGGCAAAGAATGAAATATTAAAGGGGATACTTACACAGATGCTGAAATATTTCACAAGAAATATTCACATCAGCTTGTCTTGTTTTTTTTTAAATGAGTAGGATTCATGATTTTTGACTCAAACCACACAATAAAAATGATGTACAGTAACCTCTATGATTACAGACAATCTCACATTTGAATGTAACTGGAACAGGCTCCCCAGAGTAATGATTGATGACATGTTAAAACAAATGAGCATACCATTATGTTTTGTCATTGCCTGTCTTGGAAACGCACACAGGAAAATAAAACCAATAGGCCATTTAAATCACAAATCAAATTGACAGACCCATCATGTGTGACGTTCATATCAAGACTGAAACATAGTTGAACTCTGGTGACCTTGCCCTTTGTTATATAATATAATTTCCTTTATCATAGTTTGTTTCAATCTAAATATGCATTGTCATAATTAATTTTAAATACAAACAAGTTTTGGGGTTGAACCAACAGTGGGGAATCAGTCTACCGAATGTCCTTAAAAGATGTAAATATCTTACAAAAACATTTGTGCCTTATTTGTTTAATTATTTTAAGGGACATAATTTCCAGCTTTATTCAAAGTAATTCAGATATTTTAGTATAAAAACAAATGCCTCATTGCAAAAAAAAAGTGCTGCATTTAGACGTGAATAGATTCATAAAACATGCAAGATAACAGAAAATCTTAGCTGGCTTTTGTCCAAGTATTTTGTACAGGTGTCTGTCAAAAATTAATGATTCACTGAGACAAATATGAACTGCATTGTGTGACTACTGTATTATATGAAAAGTAAAAAAAAAAACACCCTTTATGAATAGCTATCATGTTGCAAGCTCTGCTTTGTATGCAAATCAACTTAAATAGTTAGTTGGTGTCCAGTGGAGGGAGAAGTCAACAGTACTGTTGCCTCCTGAGAACCTACATCTTCAAACACTGCAATCTTTGTTTGAAGTGAGTTTTTAAACTAGTATTATAAAAACTCTATCATTCTGTTCTAATAGCTGAAACATATTCCTGTGAGTTTTCATTTGTTCGAATGAACTGTTTGTCAAATACAGAATACATATATTTTAGAACAATTTTCTTTTTAAAATGTGGATGAATGTTTGCTTTTATGTATTTTTATGTATGTTTTGATTTGATAACTT